TATATATATATTTTTTTTTTTTTTTTTTTACCATCAAAACACTGAAACCCCCTGATTTTTATCATCTTAAAATGAACAAATAAATTCCCAACAACAATAAATACTTCACCAAACTCAACAGAGACATTATCAAGAGTATTTACCTGGTCCTCTGAGGGTGTGCTGGGTAGTGCAAACTGGGGCACCAGCCCTGGAATGGTGGGAATGAAGAAGGGTGCAGCTTTGGGCAATTTTGGAGGCTCTTTGGGTTTGTTCTTTTTCTGTAGATGGAGATTTTTCACAATTTTAAAGGATCTGTAATGGCCTTTCAAACACATCTCAGTTAAGCACAGACCACTGTTTTCTCCCCCTATTTTTACATGCACATACCTTGATGATGTCCAGATGCAGCAGGTTCTTCCAGCGTGAGTCAGGAAGCAGAGAGAGTGTGATCAGATGTTCATCCAGCTGTGCTGGTGAAATGTACTCAGCCATCTCAGAGCTCTCAGCATCTAAAACGTCCTCCTCTTCTGTATCTGTTGACAAGCACACAATCAACGGGACTTAGTCTCAAGTTAAATGACTTTAAAATTATAATCAATATGATAATGTGCTCTGACTGCTCTCGCACCTCTGCTTGGGCAGGTGCCTGGCAGCATGATCACAGTCGGCTCATAGTCTGCAGGTAGAGGGCGCAATGACACCAGACTGCACAGTGTGTTGTTGGACCTAGAAAAGAACCAAACAGACAGCAAGGCTGAATATACAATATTTCATAAAGCAACTTCTTTGAATCATGAAACTAAAAGCCAAGGGTCATTACAGGCTGTGTTTGGAACAGCATATTACTTAAATACAATGATGACTGAGTACAAAAACGTACAAATAAAAGTTCCTCAGAAGTCTGATGTATCATATTTGATCCATTTTAACATGATTATCCATAGATCATTTTTTCTTATGTTTACTTCATAAAAATCAATAAATATATCACAGCAAAAAGACACGTACCACGACCTGATTTTTAGAATTAAACGTATGAACTATCAATCAGACGACAGAAGGTATTTAGTAGACTGTGTATAACAGTTTTTTTTTTTTAAGTAAAGCTTTGATCATTTGAAAATTTTGTGGCTTTAGAAATGTGTCTATCAGATACGATACAGTAGGCTTTATAGGGTTAACATTTCTACAATATGAAATATGTATAATGCACATAGCGTGCAAATTTTATGTATGCACTGAATACCTACTTGACCTACAACAACAAAGCATACAGTGCTGGGGTACTGTATCCCAATGAACTCAACTTAACCTTGCATTTCAAGCATGTGTCATGGTAAGTCACTGCATTTTGACTGATTATTTTATCAGACTGACAAGAGACATTTAAGACATTTTCATAAGATGTGACATTTTCACATATATGCATGTATATGTTCCGTTGCATGGAAAAGAGCGGCCTGAACATTTCTCAAAGCATCTGATTTTGTGTTGTACGGAGAGAGAGAAAAAAATCACGGTTTGGAAACAACGTTAGCATGAGTAAATGAACAAACTATTTATTCCTTTAAAAAAAATTAAGCCATTCATACATTCATCAGCAGATTAATGTTGCAACCTCAAGAACTCAACCCACAATACCGTTTCCCTGTTCAGTCATGATGAATAACATAATCATTAGCTAATTGTTTTCCAAAATTCTACTGTTCTAATCTTAAATCTTAAGTGTGTGAAATAACTAATTGAATAGTAAAAACAAGAGTTGACAGACACGGTATCTGCAAGGAAATCTCTTACCATAAGTAAATACCTAGACCATCAACGTGCGAAGAGGCCAGGAAGTTCCCGGTAGGGGACATACTGAGACTGACGGCTGCTGCGTCTACCAGGAAACAGTCGACCAAACTATGAAAGACAACAAGAGAATGTGGAAGGGTATGAAAGTGTGAAAGGAAATCATTCAGTCACTCAGTTGGGCCAGAGGGGACTTCATCGGCTAGAGGAATCCCCGTTAGACAAATGAAAATATATCCGACATACTAAATGTCACTACGGCCACATCTTTGAAAGATAATAATTATCTCTGAATTTGGTTTTACTGGTTACTTTGAAAACTATCGGCGTATGTTTACTTCATAAAAATCAATAAATATATCACAGCAAAAAGACACGTACCACGACCTGATTTTTAGAATTAAACGTATGAACTATCAATCAGACGACAGAAGGTATTTAGTAGACTGTGTATAACATTTTTTTTTTTTTTAAGTAAAGCTTTGATCATTTGAAAATTTTGTGGCTTTAGAAATTTGTCTATCAGATACGATACAGTAGGCTTTATAGGGTTAACATTTCTACAATATGAAATATGTATAATGCACATAGCGTGCAAATTTTATGTATGCACTGAATACCTACTTGACCTACAACAACAAAGCATACAGTGCTGGGGTACTGTATCCCAATGAACTCAACTTAACCTTGCATTTCAAGCATGTGTCATGGTAAGTCACTGCATTTTGACTGATTATTTTATCAGACTGACAAGAGACATTTAAGACATTTTCATAAGATGTGACATTTTCACATATATGCATGTATATGTTCCGTTGCATGGAAAAGAGCGGCCTGAACATTTCTCAAAGCATCTGATTTTGTGTTGTACGGAGAGAGAGAAAAAAATCACGGTTTGGAAACAACGTTAGCATGAGTAAATGAACAAACTATTTATTCCTTTAAAAAAAATTAAGCCATTCATACATTCATCAGCAGATTAATGTTGCAACCTCAAGAACTCAACCCACAATACCGTTTCCCTGTTCAGTCATGATGAATAACATAATCATTAGCTAATTGTTTTCCAAAATTCTACTGTTCTAATCTTAAATCTTAAGTGTGTGAAATAACTAATTGAATAGTAAAAACAAGAGTTGACAGACACGGTATCTGCAAGGAAATCTCTTACCATAAGTAAATACCTAGACCATCAACGTGCGAAGAGGCCAGGAAGTTCCCGGTAGGGGACATACTGAGACTGACGGCTGCTGCGTCTACCAGGAAACAGTCGACCAAACTATGAAAGACAACAAGAGAATGTGGAAGGGTATGAAAGTGTGAAAGGAAATCATTCAGTCACTCAGTTGGGCCAGAGGGGACTTCATCGGCTAGAGGAATCCCCGTTAGACAAATGAAAATATATCCGACATACTAAATGTCACTACGGCCACATCTTTGAAAGATAATAATTATCTCTAAATTTGGTTTTACCGGTTATTTTGAAAACCATCGGTGACTGAGTAAACAGAAAAGGTCATCACAAATATCTAACCGGTAAATAATATAGAAAGTGGAAAAGGTGTCACTGGACTGGCCTGGTCTTTCCCTCCTGCAAAAGGCTACTTTTGTGGGTTGTAGTAGATGCAATGATACAATCTCACTTAGCCCTCTAAGAATCACAATTAAAGAATTTAGGGTTATGCCTGGGTTCTACAGTTACTTTCTTTCAGGGCCAGATTGTCCAAATTAAAAAAATAAATAAATAAACAAATAAATTGAAACATTTACTAACATTATAAACACCACAAATGCCTATTTTAGTTCTCCTCACTCCACAACAAATCCTTTTAATTTAATTGTATTCAGAGAACTGGAATGAAAAATTAAACAAACTTCCATTATAGTGGCATTCATTGTAAACAACAGCCTGAACAAATTTATTTAAAGTGAAACTGAAACATCTGGCATGTCATTATTTTAAAAAGTACTTTAAATAAAAAACAATTCATTAATTAATAAGAAAAAAAATGCAGATCAAGAATCCTTTTACAATCGGATTGCGAGTCCCAGAATCAACGTTGTGAGCTGCCTAGATTCCCACCCCCACTAATGTCTTTGAATTCTTTTCACTTGGGTGTTTTTCCTTAGCAAATATTAATATACGCAATATAGAAATGTATCAGGCAGCACAGCAATTTCCTCCATTAATTATAGGGCCCAGTTGAACAGCCTTGGTTTATGCTCTAAACTTTATACCTGCCAGATGGAAGATCCCATGTTCTGATGGTGCAGTCCATAGACGCTGTAATCAGCCAACGTCCATCTGGACTAAATGTCTAACATCAGGAGGTTTAAAGACAGTCATGGATTTAAGTATTTTTATTTTATTTAGTTCTTTATAAGATCATTCTAACACTAGTTTTGGATATAAAGAGATATATAAGCTCAGAGTTTAAAATCTTGAAGGGATAATTCATCCAAAAAAATAAAAATGTAAACCCTCATGTCATTCCAAACATACTTTTGTTCATCTTCGGAACAAAAAAAATGTACATATTTTTTAAAGGGATAGTTCAGCCAAAAATGAAAATTTGATGTTTATCTGCTTACCCCCAGGGCATCCAAGATGTAGGTGACTTTGTTTCTTCAGTAGAACACAAACAGAGATTTTTAACTCAAACCGTTGCAGTCTGTCAGTCATATAATGGAAGTGAATGGGAATCACGGCTTTGAGAGTCAAAAAAACATACACAAACAAAACCAAATGAAACCCTGCGGCTCGTGACGA